CATTTCAGTGATGGAGCCGCCCTGCCAGACAGATGGAGAGAAAGAGAGAGAGGGAGTGTGTGTGTGTGTGTGTGTGTGTGTGTGTATGACACGTTCCTGAATCATGTGGGAAGATGACCCACTGGCAGGTGGTCTGGAGCAGGTGAGAGGCATCTGTCCGTGGATGAGGGGTCTGAAAGGCATTGATGCAAAACAAGTGAAAGATTTCCTTTTGGGAGGAGTTTCTGTGATCACAGCACCGCTCAGAGGCCAGGCCACATGGGGTACAGCCTCTTCAACAGACCAGAGCTAGAACTTGAAAGGGTGAGCAGGGCTCCCCTGGAGGGCAGTGCGGGCTCTGGTGGCACCAGTAAGCGCTGAGAGATGACTGAGAGGCCGGCCGGGTCGGCCGCCCTCCCTTCTCTGCCCCTGCAGGTACTCAGCCCAGTCCGAGGGTCTGTGGAGGGCAGTCAGGGGCGAGACAGTTTTTTCTTTCTGCGTCTCTGAACTGTTAGGCTCTGGGTCTCAGGCAGATCAACAAGATAACATTTTCACTTTCTAGAAATACTGCTTTTACTAAACCACCTGAGTAGAAGCATCCTTGCACAGTGAGCAGATTAGGTCTTGTTTTCGGTAATACAGTAGCCTGTGCGGGGTGTCGTGCTCACAGCCAGAGAACAGAACAATTTCTTCTTTATCTCCAGAACATTGGTACAAAGTGTAAACAAACAATTGAGAGGCTGAATTTTAAATCCTTAGCTGTAGCCTACTTACTTGTTCAACAGGGACCATTTTTAAAAAAATGTCTGTTGGCTTTTTTGGAGAAGCAAAGTTATATTATATTCTTTTCCAGACTGAAAATGACTTAGGACTAAAGATAACGATGCTGAACATTTGTACAGCACTTTATAGTTTGCAAAACCTCTCAGGGGTGTTTTCATATACGACCCCCTTCTCAGCTCCGGGGGTAGGGTTTGTTATTTGCACACCACACTGAGGAGAACCTGAGTGGAGGATTTGGAGTGACTTGGCTGAGGTCACTTGAGCAGGATGTGACTGAGCTGGGCAAGAACCAGGTCTTCTCTGCTCGGTCCTGTGTGCTTTTAGCTTTATCACAGATATGCTCATACAAACACACACACATACAGACAGACAGCTATTTTTCAGGAACATGGCGAGTGTTCTCTTCAACACCTGCCACATATCTTAGCATCTGTTTGATTGAAATGGTTACCACCCTGGAAACACAAAAATGTCCGCGAGGTCTGGCACATTAAAATTATCAGGCAAAGTTATTTGGACATCATGGACTT